GATCAGTTGCATGGCATGGTTTTGGGAGACTTTTCTGGAAACTCAACATGGAACAGGACTTTATAACTCTCCAAATAATGCTGTTAGCGTCCTAATAACACCTCCTACAAGGAGTTATTATTAAGGTTTTCTACTTTAATTACTTGAAGTGGATTCTGCTCTGTACAACTGACTCCTGACCCCCAGCAGATTTGCTCACTCATGTAACCACATCTTTTGTGCCTCTACCCTCACTATTCTACCAAATCCTTCTTATAGAGATGATTGCAGGTCAGGCCTTGGCTCTGACAGCATCTCCTTTATGAGAACCTCTATGCAGCCTTCTCTGATATGTGACCTGCCTTTTCTGCCCCCAGCAACCAGTGTTCCTCATCTTAGTGCCTCCTTCGCCTCAGATGCTTACCATCTTCCTCTCTGCCAGCAGTCAGGGCTGTATCTTTTCTCTGTATAACTGATGTTGGGCAAAATTCTATGCATGCAGTAGGTACCCAAGAAACTTGCTAAACTTTAAAAATTTATGCTAATTTATTTTATTCGTCTGTACCAGCGTGGATGGGGGTGTGGATATGCCACCACACGTGCGGAGGTCAGAGGACGGGTTTTTGGGGAGTTAGTTCTTTCCTCCCACACATGGGTTCTGAAGCTTGAACTCAGGTCATTGTGCTTAGCAGCAAGCCCCATGAATCCCCGAGTCATCTCGCGGGCCTGAGGAAACTTTCTTGTTGAGAAAGTAAGGAACATAAGGCAGAGCCAAACCTGAAGCTCTGTAGTTTAGACATTGCTTCATTCAGTAGAGGGCAGAGGCATGTTGATTAGCGTGAATGGGGATGTTAGGGAGGAGAGCGGCAACCTGAAAACCAGGGGAGTCACTTCCTGGATCTGGCTTCCTCTTCTGTTAAATGTGTGGTGGTCTGGAAAGATAGTTCAGTAGTGAAGAACTCACACAGCTCTTCCAGACAAGCACAGTAACGTTCTCAGCACCCCATGCTGGATGGCTTACAACCACCTGTAACTCCAGCTCTAGAGAATTTGACGCCCTCTTCTGGCTTCTTTGGGTATCTGCACACATGTACACACATTCATGCACTAAGACATTATTACTATTTTTTAGAGAATGGATCTCTAACTCACGATTTTTAATTCCTTTTTAGTTTGTATGCATCTCTGTGTGAGGGTGTCAGATTCTCTGGAACAGGAGTTACAGGCAGTTGTGAGCTGCCGTGTGGGTGCTGGGAATTGAACCCTGGTCTTCTGGAAGAGCAGCCAGTGCTCTTCACTGCTGAGCCATCTCTCCAGCCCCCTAAAACATTTTTTAACAGGAGCAGGACTTCACTGCTGTTTCCTTGAGCACTTGAGTTTGGGAAATGCTGAGCTCATCAAAGGAAAACAGGTTTCTCCACTGCAGGGCTTCTCAGGCCCTTTAAATATGCTAATGTTCATTGTGACTCGAATGAAGGGCGGGTATAGATGCAGAAAGTCTTTTTGTCTTTTGCTTCAAGAACCTGAAAAACAAATTACTAAAAAACCTCAACGTCTCCCAATAAAAGCAGTTCTTACGCTTCTGTGCCTGGAGTCCCGTGGTCAGTGGCTCTCTCCAGTCTGCAGGCTCAGCAGGCTGGAAGCCAGTCTAAACCTGTCTTGGTCTGGAAGACTAGAGCAGGTCTTCACTGTTCCAACCATGCCCTGGATAAGCCCAAAAGAGGCAGCCCCCAAAAACCCGGCTCCTGGAAAGCTTGTTGGCCAGAAGACAGTGTCAAAGGGTCAGCAGGTCATCTTGCCCACAATAGGAGGTCTTGGCAAAGGTCCATGAAAGAGACTTGGACTGGATTTGGGTTCATAGTGGTGAAGAATTTGGTATATCCAGGCAGTCTACCGCAATGTTTCACCAAGTTCCAGGTGACCCAGGCCCACCTTTGTGGCTGCAAGGGGGTGCCAACGGGGGCACTGATTTTACACTCTGCTGGTTTCAGGGAGGGCGGCTGCTGAGCAGATGGAGTGGTGCAGGTCCTTGGCAATCTAAAGCCAGCAGTGGCAGCCCAGAAGGCAGGTGGCAGGAGAGTCACCAGCTTGAGACCAGTCTAGGTTACAGAACCAAGCCCAAACGACAAAACTCACCCCTGTGAACAATGTTTTTCCTGGTGCTGAGGGCACAGCCCAGGGCATGCGCTCCCCAGCTACATCTGAACCATTGTGGCAAGGATAGTTCTTTGCGCCACTATTCTTGGGGAGCAGAGCCTTCAGGGAGTATTATTTCTAAGAACTTGGCTGTGTGGGAGTACACTTTTCCGGTTCAGTTCCTCCAGGAAGGCCTTCAATGAGGGCTTGACCTTGGGACAGCAAGGCTTGGTGTCACTTGGTCTTCTTCCTGAGCTCTAGACCCAGGACCTGTGTTCTGCCCATAGTGACTCATGACCCCTGGGGCCAGCATATCTGAATGCCTGCCTGTGCCATGAGGAGAGGAATGGGGAACTGTTGGCCAGGCCTCTGCCCTTTCTGCCAGCCTGACTCTATTATCGTAAGGGCCCAAGACCACATGTAAAGAACATGTGGAGTGGCTGCAGGGGTGGCCCTGGAGTTTCCTGCAGCCCCATGGCCTGCTGCCCCTACACCCTGCTGCTTCTTGTTTATGGGAACCCAGAACAGCAAGAGTTGGCTTTTCTAACTTGCGGTCAGGGGTTGGCTCCTGTCTGTCAAAGCTCCCTGGGCCCCCTGGTAAATGTCCATAGCTTTGGGGGTTGGTAGACTCTAGGAAGAAGAGGCCTCTGGGAAGGAGAAGGCCTAAGGCTTGGGAGTCCCAGCCGGACGCGCAAATTTAGCCTTGTTAAGAAAACCTTCAAGGACGATAGGGTTGGTTGAAGGTGACGGACAGCAGAAGCACACGTGTGTGATTAAATTCGCGATGACTCAGCTAAGCCCCTGCGTGCACGCGTGAGCCCGTCATCTGCATAGAACATAGTCGTGCCAACCCCCATGTTCTTGTGCTAGGCACATCATGGACCTGTTAAAAGTCTCCCATCTCCCCAAAGCTATAGGAATTATTCACCATCGGTCTCAACCAAGGAAATAATCGGGCTGACTGAGCAGCTAAAACAGCAGCATTCCAAAGCCCAGACCTACCTCAATCACCTCAGGGGGTTCATACAGTACAGCCCACATTCTCACAGACACCCCCTGACACCAGCAAATTCTGTCCCACCTACATCAGCTCTTTCATCCTAATAGCAAAGCTCCATTTCATTTTGTTAAGGCTCACCTCTAACCCACACCTGAGGACTTGGAGTTCTTAAAAGCTATCACTGCCTCTTGTCAAATCTGTCAAAAGTCAGATCCCAAGACCAAATATCATAGCTTCCCTTTTCCCACCCACCAGGTCAGGGGCTCCCTTCTAGGAACTGACTGGCAGCTGGATTTTACTCATATGCCCACGGTCAGAAGAGTTAAATATCTCCTGGTCTTGGTGGACACCATATCTGGGTGGATTGAAGCGTTTCCCACCACTAAGAAGAGGGCCCCAACAGTCTCTGATGTTCTCTGAGAAATCATTCCCGGTTTGGAATCCCAACCTTTCTTCAGTCAGATAATGGCCCAGAGTTTACTTCCCAGATTTCTCAAAATTTGTCCAAGGCTCTTAACATTCCCTGGCATTTTCATATCCCATACCACCCTCAGTCTTCAGGGAAGGTAGAATAAACTAACCACTCTTTAAAAATGTTCTTGTTAAGATGTCACAGGAGCTTCACCTCGACTGGGTAAATTTTGCCTCTGGCCCTTCTTAGGCTTAGGGCTCTCCCCAAAAGCCCCCTTTCCATCCTGCCCTTTGAACTCATGTATGGGTGGCCAGTTTTAACCCCCAGCCTCTCACCCAAAACCTCTCCCCTTCCTGATCACCTTCTTATTCCGCTGTTATTCTATCTTTGCTCCCTATTATGGGATTTCACCGACCACTCATAACCTCAACCATGTGCTAATTCATGCCCACCGCCGATTAAAACAGGGGATCAGGTATTATTTTCTCCCCCAGACCAATCCCTCTCATCCCTTTCCCCTAAATGGCAAGGGCCCCTTTCAAGTAGTTCTTGTAACTCCCACAGCTGTCAAGCTTGAGGGATGTCCTCATTGGATTCACCTGTCCCATCGTAAACATTTTACTTTTCCAGCTCAAGATACTTCCTCGTATATGGTAACTCAAACAAGGCCCTGTTCCCTTAAGTGCCAGAGGACACCAAGATCAGCCACTCTCTCTCCAGTTCTAGAAAAATAAAAGTCTCACCCTTACTCAACTTTCTTGTGCCAAAAACCCCATATACTCTCCCTCTTCCTCTTTCTCCTATCTGCTTTACCAACTTTTCCCTATCTCCAATGTCATGCTTAAATTTCCAGTTAACCACTAAGCCATTATTACAGGGACCATCATTAAACATAGAGCTGGAGGTACAAGGAGCGTCAAAAGCCCAGGCGAAGAGAAACAATAACGAGTTTGCAGCCCCGAACTCCAAAAAAATCTCACAAAACAGACTTTAATATAACAGATTTAGCACAGACTGCAGCAGTGTCTCCTGGATGTTAAGTAAATACCATGATGCTAAAGGAAAACAAGTGCCTTAAGAGTCACTTCAGGTAAAACATTAAAGGGTCAAATAATTATCCTTTTCAATAATTTCCCTCACACCATCTTCCATTCCAACAATATATCATCGTAATCATAAGCTTTTAATATGTCTAAAATTTATTTATTTTCAAACATTTTTTTCATAAGCTCCAGGTAGTCAATTGGACCTACCTAAACGGACCAGACTTACCCAGAAAAAGTATCATTTGATTTGTCCATGGTGTAGCCTGGGAACCCCTGGGAAATTCCCTCCTCCCCCCCCCCCCCCCCCCCCCCCCCCCCCCCCCCCCCCCCCCCCCCCCCCCCCCCCCCCCCGCCCAAAAGAACTCCCCTCTTTCTTCCATCTTGGAACCTTCCTCCCTTAATCACTGGTATCTTAAGTATTTTCCAGACATAATTTTCTGCCTTTCCAGCATCTTGCGGGGTCCAAGCTGCCAGCCAACCAGTTCCACGGAGCCCAGAGAAACACAACAGTAATCAGACAACCCAGGACGTGGTCAAGCATCTCAACCCCCTGACGCCCACAAAATCAGCAACGACACCCACAAAGCCAACATGAAGCAGTCATGAGAGGCCTTATGACACTCCATTCCCACCCATTAAAAAGACCTCAAACTCCCCAATTTTTTATAATAAACAAAAGAGTGGAATGTAATGATTTCAGCCACGTAAGGCGGATACTGCCAGGTTCTGGAGCCATGCACGTGCAGACGGGCCCTCGGGCGTGGAGGTGCCTAAAGGTTAAAGGGCCCTGCGTGACCCACGTGAGCACAAGCGTGGTTATGTCCACGATGACTCAGCTAAGCCCTTGCACGCGTGTGTGAGCCCTGTCATCTGCATATGACGTAGTCATGCCAATCCCCTGTGTGCATGCGCTAGGCAGCTTTTAAAAAGCTGGACACACCGTCTTCCTCTCTCTCTCTGCACACCGTTTTCCCTGGCCTGTATGTAACCCCTCTAATAAACTCCTAAGTGGGTTTGTTGCATGTTCTGTGTTTCCTTTTCACTCGCACCAGGTAATTTCACCTGGGACAGGTGAAAGGCCCTGCCACTAGGGCCAGTGGGCATGAGTCTTAGACAGGGTAAGCTACCCCTGCTAAGCCTGGAAGTGACCCATGCAGGAGGAACTTTTTTCCCACTTTGGAACAGGATTCACCTAGAAATTTATTGTGATTGTACCAGAAACAAATGCAGCAAAATTAATGCATTAAAATATACTTAAAGGAAATGCTGGGCCATTGGCTCTTGGAAAAACCTATAGCAGGCAATTATAGGCAATTTACATTTTTTATAATGTTTTTTGGTGTGTAATTTTTTTCCAATTAGAATTCTACATGCTATTGTTAAATAGTGGAGGGGGACAAAGTGACATAGAAAAAGAATAGCAAGAACGGTACAAGCACGTTTTTGAGAAATAATTGTTCTACAATGCACTGCACTGTATAGTCAATAGAATTTCAGTTTCATAAAACAAAAAGTTTATCGGGAAGGACCAAAGGACACAAAATTGTTATCATGTTTATCTCAGGAAGTGTGATTCATTTAATTTCTTTCTCTTTTTATCTTTTTGGAAGAAACATATTACTTTTTGAAATTATGAAAAGGCAGTTGAAAAACGGATAGATTTCCATTTGTACACGGCGTTGGGGATGGTGTAAATCAGTTCCTGGTGTGGCCCCCAGCACTGAAGGGACAGTCAACAACCTGTGAGTGCAGGAACTTTCTTCCCGTTGCCTTGGGGTCATGGCCCTGGGGTCCGGGTCTCTGAGGGTATAAAGACCTTGGCTTAGTCTGAAGTGTTAGTCTGAAGAGGTAGCCTTGGAAAGCGCCTTCAAATTGGACTTGGGAGAGAGAGAGAAAGGTTTCAGGAGGTGAGGAACCCCGGTGGGAGGGTGGGGTAAAGTCCCTGAGGCAGGATGGAGAGAGATCCCCTGCAGGGCCAGGAAATGACTTAATCTAGAAATGAGGGCCACCAGCAAGCCTGACTTCCAGAGCAACTTGTGGAATGCTATTTGCCATCTCACGCCTCTCCTGAGAGGGCTTTCAGAGGCGCTTTTCTCTGCTACCTCCTGACCCCTCAGTCCTGCCGGGGGTCCTCAGGTCCATGAGCAGGCCTCTGTACATAGGAAGGTGATTGAGTATTACTGAGTGTGTGTACAAATATAACCATTTCCCATGTCTGTAAGGTTGAGTAAAATATGCCATTAGTGAGCTTTTTCGAATTCCTCCCTGTTAAAGGGTCCGACTTATGGATTGCATTCCTTGATGGAACCCTGGGTTCTCTGCACACACTAGGCAAGCAGTCCACCACAGAGTCACATCTTTAGCAACATCCGGGGCATTGTAAGAAGTGGGCTATCAGCCTGGGCTTATGTAGGGAGTTTGAGGCCAGCCTGGGTTCCACAGTGAGACTTTGTCTTCAAAACCAACCAACCAACCAAACAACCAAACAACCAATAAGGTTGGCAAGATGGCTCAACAGATAAAGACACTTGTCACCAAGTTTGATAACCTGAGTTCAATTCCAAGACTCACCAAGTGGAAGAAGAGAACCAACTTCCACAACTCGTGATTTCTATACATCCTCTGTGGTATGTGAATGCCCACACTCCTAAAATAAACAAACGAAATACAAATTTGTTTGGAGTAGGTTTTGGGATTAGAGGTGTCTCTTAGTCATATAGTACTTTGGAAGTATGTGCAAGGCTCTGTGGTTCATCCCCAGCTTCTCAGAAAAATAAATACTCTTAAAAATCAGGCATTTAGCTGGACCTGCTAAATGGTCAGCCCCCATGTGCTGGGAGAGATGCTGGCATCCAGTTAAGGTGCTCGAGGTTCTTGGGGAGAATTCCAGCCAATTCTCTGGATGAACCCCTTCTACTACAACTCCAGAATCTTTCCATGTCTTTAGCCCGTATAGATTTGTGCTGGAGCCCCTGAGCTCTGGGACAAAGTTTCCCAATGTCTCTTGCAGCATCCTATTTTGCTGGTGACTGTGTTGGAAAGAAAGGCTGAGGTGGGATGTTTGAAGGCGTCCAGGCTGTTTTGTCCACCTGTTGATTCTCACTGCTGTGGGGGAAATCTTGAGGCAGGGTTTAGAGTTGGAGCCATCTCAGTGACTCAAAGAGGATTGTGTGTGGGGGGTCTGGCTTTGTCCAAAATTAATTTCAGGAAACATTTTCTTTTTTCCTCTGTAATTGAGGCAATTCTAATATAAATGCAGCACATGATTTTATTCTTGGGACAATTCAATAGGCTGGAGATCACATCTGGGTTGCACAGATGGATCTCTTAGGTTGGGAAGGCTCCAACAAGCCAGGCCAAGACCGCTAGCTGGTCAGTTGCACAGTTAGAACGGAGGGGTGGGACAGCCTCTTTCTGACTCGTCCCCTTCATGTGGTAGAAAGTTCACCATGTCTGCTCTGGGGGAAGCCAGCCGATTAGAGAGAATGCAGATGACATTTAGGAGACAAGCAACAGGGTTTTCATTTAATAGCCTAGGCTGGCCTGTAATTTACCATGTAGACCAGGCTGGCCTCAAACTTGAAGCAATCTTCCTGCTGCAGCTGGTGCTGGGATTCCAAGTGTGTGCCCTTAAATCTGGCTGCAGTTTCCTCACTATGACGATGAGTTCTCTTGTTATAACCACAGATGTGCTCTCCGTCATGGGATAAACTATGCCCACTTCAAACTCTTGTAACTCTAGGGCCTCCAAATGTCACCTTGTTTGGAGGCAGGGTCATGACAGAGGTCATCAGACTCAAATGAGATCATTAGCTTGGGCCTTAGCTCAACACAGCTGGCTGGCCCTGGCTGTGTCCTTATAAGAAGGGGCACCGAGGAAGGAGCGTGTGATGAGCCACGCATGAAGTCCGACTCTATGGTATCTTGGTTTTGAACTTCAGACTGCCAGAGCCAAGGAGGGGAGGGAGGACTGAGGAGTTCTCGAAGCCTACCTAGCATGATCGTTCTGTTTTGGGGATCTCTGGAATGAACCCAGGGATTCTCCTTGCCATTTCCTCGAGGGTGACCTTGGAGGTGTCGGGGTTGCAGGTGTGCGCAGCTACACACTATGTGCTCAGTGCTTGGGATTGATTTTTGGGTGCCTGTTGCATGTTAGGCAAGCACGCTACTGACTGAGCTACATACATGCCCAGCCCCTCACTAACTGGGCCCGTTCTGTATCATGTAGAGCGATTTAGATGGTTTGTAATAGCAAATCTCACCCCGTCTTAGAAAAGAAAGGATGACAGAATTGGTCATATTTAACTGTCGTAACAGGAAGGGAGCTGAGGTAGCTACAAACTCCAGGAGCTGGTAAAGAAAAGGGATTATTGGTGGCTCACAGTTCTGGAGACTGGGCAGTCCAATGTCAAGACACTGATCAACCTATGTCTGGCAAGAGAACGGCCTCTGCTTCTGAGAAGGAGCCTCAAAGACTGTGTCTTCAAAGGGCACTGCCTCTTGCATGGTGGCGGAGTGGAAGGGAGGGGAGAAACCCTTCTCAGTAACCCTTGGTGGCAATTTATGGTTTGAGTTTGCTGTGCTCTCCACAGGCTCCTGTGTTTGGACACTTGCTCCCCAGCTGGTTTGGGGGAAGCTGTAGAACCTTTGGGCCATGGGTCTTGGTTAGTGCACATAGGCCTTGGGGATGGGCCTTGAGGGCTGTAGCCCTGCCCTACTTTCTGTCCCATACCTGCATCCTGATCCACCAAGATGTGCACAAGTTGTGCCATGACCTCCCACCGCCAGCAGTGAGGCTGCAACGTCTCCATCCTCCCCTGTCACCATGAACTGATCTCCCACCAGTTCAATCATGAACCAGAACAAATCCATCTTCACTGATATTGTTCCTGTCAGGCTATGTGACAGTGATGAAAAGTAACTAATAAAGATGTTGATCCATTCATGAGGGCATCACCTCACAGCTGAAAATGTTGTTCTAATGACAATTACGGTTTATGCGTGCCCCCCCCCCCCAACATTCATGTGCCTGAGTGCATGAGTTCGGGTATACATATGCCATGGTATGGTAAGCTAGCTTCCTCAGTTCCCCCTTCCCTTCCCTTCCCTTCCCTTCCCTTCCCTTCCCTTCCCTTCCCTTCCCTTCCCTTCCCTTCCCTTCCCTTCCCTTCCCTTCCCTTCCCTTCCCTTCCCTCCTCCCCTTTTCTTTTCTCTTCCTCTTCCTCTTCCTCTTCCTCTTCCTCTTCCTCTTCCTCTTCCTCTTCTTCTTCTTCTTCTTCTTCTTCTTCTTCTTCTTTTTTTTGGTTTTTCTAGACAGGGTTTCTCTGTGGTTTTGGAGCCTGTCCTGGAACTAACTCTTGTAGACCAGGCTGGTCTCGAACTCACAGAGATCCGCCTGCCTCTGCCTCCCAAGTGCTGGGATTAAAGGCGTGCGCCACCACCGCCCGGCCTCTTCTATTTTTGCAAGGCATCACGACACATGCCTTTAATCCTAGCACTTGGGAGGTAGAGGCAGGTGGATCTCTATGAGTTCGTGACCAGCCTGGTCTACATAGTGAGTTCCAGAGCAGCTAGAGCTACGTAATATAGAGAACTTATCTAAAAAATTTTACCTTTACATTTCTCTTTTTGTTTTTCTGTGCACACGTGTTCACATCCAGAGGTCAGGATAAATTGCAAGAGATAATTTATTCTAGGAATCTAATTCAGGTTATCCAAATTGGTGGCAAGTACCTTACCTGCTAAGCCAATCCCTTCTTTTCTCTGTTGTTCTTTCTCTTATATCCTTCCCATGGGTGCCACAGAACTAGGTGGCACTGGCAACATGAAGCTAGCTCCTCTTCTCACTCTTGGCCCTCCTTTGGTTGTAGACAGCCTTCTGCCCTGGATCCACTGGGGCAACTGGAGAAGTTTCCTGACCTGAGGGTTGGCTTCAACTGAGCTCTCTTCCAAGTTTCCTGGCAAGGGAGGCTGGGGAAAGAGGCTTCTTG